AGCGGTCGGATGCAAGGGCCTCAGCGATGAGGGGCAATGCCTGTTGTTCCCATCCTCCCTTACCGGAGCCGCTTTGAACTGGTTCTACCGTCTTGAACCAGGAACGGTAGACTCGTTTGACGAACTGAAGCAGATTTTTCTCAATCACTTCATGATCTAGACGGACCGTCTGTACTCTGCCGACGATCTGTACACGGTTCGGCAGAGAGAAGATGAACCCCTACGGGAATACGCTGCGCGCTTCAGTCAAATAGTGGCTGTGCAATTCCAGACAGAGTCGGCAGCTTCTTCTCAACTCAACAGTCTTGACTGTGCAATAGTCAAGCTGTGCAATCGTGGACAGCCCCTTCTCTTCTCATATACAAGGAAACAAGTATTCTTCTTAATCTCTTCTCTATAATTATCTTCTTTTATTGGGTTATTCCTAAAATAAATATATGCATCTTAGTTTTAATTTTAATTTGAAATTGAGTTTTCTAGGGTTTAATTAGGAATGAAATATAATTTGGGGATTTTGTTGAAATTAATTAGGTCTTTGATTTTAAGAATTTTGTTAAGATGTTTGATTTGATGTTGGCATTGTTGAGATGTTTGATTTGTTGTTGGTATGTTAATGTTTGATTAAATTCATTGATGCTATTATGAGAAATTGTTTGATTTTTTGTTGGGATGTTTGATTAAATAGGTTATCTTTTATTATGTCGGATCACAATCGAAACCCCAAGAAATCAAAGAATTTGTTCTCTTCTTTTAAGAAAAAGAATGATGGGTCATCATCTTCTAGAATGCCTCCAATTTGTGATGAGCCAAATCTTCTCTCTTCTCCCATTGTCGAGCCTCAAGTTGAAAGAGTTGAGACTCAAAGAGTTGATAGTGGTCAAGATTTTAATATCAATTATCTTGAGCGTGATCTGAGATTACGTCGTCAAATATGACAATATTCGGTGAATGAACAAGATAATGTGCGAAAAGCCTATATTATTTTAGGACCTTGTCAACTGGAGTGAGAAGACTATCCAAGCCATTTATAAGGGCAAGACTTACGTCGATTTAATGAATTGTGGTTTGGTAAATTCCCTTGGCTTGAGTATTCAATTGCTAAAGATTTGGCATTTTGTTTTCCTTACTTCATATTTGACATGAATCACATTCAACCTTTACTATTCATGAATTTCAAAATTGGAAGAGAATTGGTGGTAATATGTGTATTTCAAAGTTATGTAGGCAAGCTAAATTCTCCACATCATCTTGCTATGCAAAGTGGGAAAAAACCAATCTCTTCATATTGAAAATGTGGTAGATAAGCAATCAAAGCAACAAGTGATGGACAATCGGTTGCGACTTACAACCACAATAGAAGGCATTTGGTATCTAGCAAATCAAGCATTAGCTTTTCGAGGTCATGATGAATCTGTTGACTCATCTAACCGAGGAAATTTCGTTGAAATCTTAAAGTCTTTTGCAAGAATGAATATAGAAGTTGAGAAAGTTGTTTTAGATAAGGCTCCTCATAATGCTCAGTATATTGCCCATGATATACAAAAACAGATCTTGCATATTTTTGCTACCAAGGTGAAGAAGAAAATTTGTGCCAAACTTGGGAAGAACAAATATTGTATTCTTGTTGATAAATCACTTGATGAATCAGGCAAGGAACAAATGGCTATTATTCCAAGATTTGTTGATTGTGATGGATTTATTCGTGAACGCTTTTTCGATATTGTGAGTGTCGTAGACACTAATGCCTTGACTCTTAAACAAAAGATATGCAAAGTACTTGATAATAACGGCATTCTAGTGGAAAACATGCGTGGCCAAGGGTATGATGGTGCTAGTAATATACGTGGTTCATGGAATGGATTACAAGCATTGTTTCTTCAAGATTATCCATATGCATATTATGTGCATTGCTTTGCTCATCCCTTGCAATTAGCATTAAATGGTGCAACTAAAGATGTGAAGGTTGTATGGAGATTTTTTTCAATGTTGACTAACATTGTGAATTTTGTTAGTGCTTCTGCTAAGCGCCATAATGAGTTAAATTTAATTCGAAAAGCTGAACTCAAAAAGTTGTTGGATTCTGGGGAACTTGAGACAGGTAGAGGACTTAATCAAGGTCGTAGTTTGAAACGAGCTGGAGCCACTCGTTGGGGATCTCACTTTGCCTCTATTACAAGGTTAATGAGTTCATTTAAAGAGACTAAAATACTTCTTCAGGAAATCAGTGAACATGGACCTAACCAACAATTTCGGAGTGATGCAGAGAGTAACTATATTGCTATGATGTCTTTTGAGTTTGTGTTTGCATTGCTTTTGATAGATAAAATTATGGGATTGACCAACTTTCTCTGTCAAGTGTTTCAGAAAAAAAAAACTCAAGATATTGTAAGTGCTTTAAACTTTGTTGAAAACACAAAATCACAGTTCCAAGATATGAGGGCACATGACTGGGATGATTTATTCATGAGTGTGGTATCATTTTGTGAACAACATGGTATTGATGTTCCTGATATGAGTTATCGTTATATGATGGGCACACGTCGTTCTTGTCAACAACAAGATTTTATTACAGTTGAACATTACAATCGCATTGATGCATTTAATGATGTGATAGATTGCATGTTGAGGGAGTTAAATGATAGATTTCCAGAGCAAACAGTTGAACTTCTTATTCTTAGCTCAGTATTGGATCCTCGTAGTTCCTTCAAATCATTCAATATTGGGCATCCATGTAAACTTGCTGAGAAATTCTATCCTGGTGATTTCAATCCAAGTGACTTAAAAGGTTTGGAAATTGAGTTGAGGTATTTTCAAAATGATATACATGGCCTTCCCTGCTTTAAGGACCTCACCACTCTTCCTCAGTTATGTCAACAATTTGTGGAAACAACTTTGGCAGAAAACTACCATTTGCTTTACAGGTTGATTCAATTGGTGTTGACTCTTCCTGTTTCTACAGCAACAACGGAACGAGCTTTTTCATGTATAAGAATTATTAATAATAGACTTCGAAGCACCATAGCTGATGAATTCCTTGCTGATTGCATGATTCTCCACATTGAAAGAGAGTTTGCTAATATTATCGATAATGAAGAGGTAATTGAGGAATTTAAGATTTCTATGCCTCGTAGGGTACAATTTTAGATTAAAATAGTTTAGTTTTTGTGTCGCATTGCATTTACTTCTTGTTTTGTTTTTGTTTTTTTGTTTTATTTTGTTAAGCTTTTATTTATGTATAGATATGCATATTTGAGGATAAGGCTCATTACGTCCCCCCTTGACTAGGTGTGTTTTTTTATTTTTATGAATAAGATTCACTCGTACCGTCGAGTTTTTAAGGTAAGTTTCGCCTGCCTGACTTTTGAATCCTAGATCCGCCACTGACTATATCTCTTAACCGTTAGATCAAACTGGTTAAATGTTGGATTAAATTGGTTAGCCTGATCCAACAATTAAGAAATAGAACCTCACTAAGGGCCATATATAAGGCTCTCACTATATAATGACTCATATCTTTTGACACAAATTATAATATTGGTAAATTTTGAATCATATTTATACCTTTTCTTGGCACTTGGACTTCCATACAGTACAATTTAGAATTATTCGATGCAACTTTTTTTGGTCAATTTATTCGATGCAACTTGGTTTAAAGTATGAGGAAATCTAAACAGTGTGAAGCAAAGCAATAATAAACGTCCTAAGCTAAGACTTGCTACCCCATAAAGGCAATGTTTGCTGCATTGTACAAAACTAGGCCTTTGAATTGAAAGCTGAAACAGACGTCTAATGGCATTTTCCATTTCTTCGGCTTCTGAAAGGAGACAGACAGATGTGCTTGTTTTTTAATCAACACAACTTTAGCTTTCGGTTCGGAAATGTAACGTAAAGAAGGGTCAAGCTTCACGTAACCAAAAAAAATATATATATATATAGAAAACCAATCACAAATAGCTTGGTCATTTGATTATTATCACCGTCGTTTTTATTTGATCACATTCAAGGATTTTAAATTTTTTTAGTTGAGCTAAATAAAGAATTCAAACTTTGGGAAAGACTTGTATCAATTACTCTATGTTTAACATTTTCGGATCATTGGGGAGTCGGGGGATTGTAATTTAAAACTTCTTTCATCATCAGGAAGAGAAGTGTCAGTAGGTATGAATAAAGACTTGAAAAATAGATAATTCATATTGTTGAAATAAAATTTGTATGAGTCTCAAAACATGTTTCTCAAATAAAATTATTTCCTTCAACTATTGCTGCTTCAAAAGGATTGACGCCTACTTTGCCATCAACTTGCATGGGCCTTGGTTTGTCATCCATTTCTCCATGGTTGGCTTCAATCTTCACGTGGGTTTTCAGTCTACACGTTAAGCACAGAAAGCAAAACAAAAAGCCATGGCTCAAAGAAACTCCACATGGAAAGATGTGCTACCATGGGACATGAAAAACCACATGGGCGGCCACGCTAACTGTTAGAACAAATATTCCAGCTTCCAATCATGAGACGCCACGTAGTCAAGAAGAATAGCACCCAGATCAATAATTGAGTCTATTTATTAGGCCAATTAATTAAGACAAAAAATAGGAAGATTATCTTAAATATAAGCTATTATCTTTATTTGGGGATATTATCATCAATTAGGGATTTAATTCTAATTGAAATCGCTAATTAACTCAATCTCTCCATTTAAGGGAAATGATATATTCCTTCCAAATAGAAATTAATCTTTGAAAAACCCTAGTTAGAGCCCTATAAATACATGCCTACATTCAACACACAAGGTAACTTGATTTCCCTACCCGAAACTTTGTCAAAATTATATATATCTCTCTCTTGTCGCCACTCTCTCTCTCTCCTTTCTCCTACACAGCTCTGACCACCACACGCGGCTCCGGTATTGCTTCATAGAAAACAAGGGTTTGAATATATACATAATTGTAATGCACAATGATTTTAGGAAAATTTTGAATGTGTATGTGGGACCTACCTGATACTATAGAATTACCAACGAATTTTCAAAGACATGTCAATCCATGGATTGGCAATGACATGAATATTTCGCATATTGCCCTATGTGTCACTTTTAGACAACTGGCACATTTGGAATCCAAATTTTGGACTGAGACTCACACATAAAATTACTAATTTTCATCGACAAATGTGATTATTGGATTGAATTTGACAAGACAATTTATAACAATTATAGGTCCAAATATATATATATATATATATTTTCACCCAAACAAAAATTATTATTGTATTTTTTATACGATTGATATGATATTTACAAAATACATTTACAATATACTAATACAAATTTATAAATAAACCCAATCCTAGACATGTATTTATAAAAAAACCCAAGCACTATTTAAACATAGAAACACACCCAAAATTAACCCCAAAGTCAACTTTTTGGGTGTGTTTATAAATGGGTTTTGAGTGTGTGTAATGATGGGTTTTGGGTGTGTTTATATGTTTAAATAGTGCTTGAGTTTTTTTATAATTTCAACCCTCATTTTGGGTGTTTTAGTGAAACTCCCATATACTAATACACCCACAACAAAACTACATCACCACCACCACCACAATAACATTTTCTAACTGATTACTTTTTTCATAAAAATACAAAACCAAAGTGCGAAAAAAAACTAAATCAAAGTGTGAATCGATAGGGATTTGTTCTATTTTTGTCCCCCTCCCCCCTCTCTCCCATTAGAGGTATCAAACAAGTCGACCCGACCCACTTAATAAATGATTCTGACCGAGTTCATTCATTTATGAAAATCATTAAGTCCTGCTCAAGCCCGCTACCTTAGCCAATATAGGATCAGGGTGGGCTCATGCCAGGCCACTAAGATATGGGTCAGCTCCAAACTTGACTTATGGATTGCTTTTTTTGAAATTTTTTATTTTACAATTTTATTTCAATCCTTTTAACAATTATGTAAATGCTAATAAGAATGATTATTTGTCGGAAAAAGAAGCCAATGACTCGAAGTACATTTAAATAGAAAAAGAGACTATTGTTCAGGTTTAACAAATTGAAACTTGAATAACAAAATTATTATTTTATTTTTAAAGAAAGCATTGATTTTTAAAATCTATTATTAGAGAAAAGAAATAGACTTAATTTAATTACAAATTTATAAATAAACCCAATTCTAGACATGTATTTATAAAAAAAAACCCAAACACTATTTAAACATAGAAACACACCCAAAATCAACCCCCAAGTCAACAATTGTATATTTTTTGGGTGTGTTTATAAATGGGTTTTGAGTGTGTGTAATGATGGGTTTTGGGTGTGTTTATAAAGTGTTTTGGGTGTTGGGTTTTTTTTATAATTTCAGCTCCCATTTTGGGTGTTTTAGTGAAACTCTCCAATTTAATATGTAAACATTATAAATTATGTATTATTTTTCTTAAAAAAATATATAATTCACTAAATGGCCCGCCCAGTTGGACCAAATTATGTCATCCTGGCCCGCCAAAAAATATGGGCTGGACTGTGCCGGACCTTACATAACGGGCTATATTCGCATCGTGCTCAATCCGGCCTGATACGTTTGACACCTCTAACCCTCATAAAAATGAAAAGAGAACGCGTCCAAGAAGAAAGAGTCCAATACCATGTCCAACGCAAGAATGCAAGCCCAATATAAGTAGAGCCCAAAAGAGTACGTATGTCCAAACCGTTGCCGTCACGAAGGCTTCATGACTTTCCTAAAAAAGTCCCTTCAATACTCTCCAATCCTTCTTTCTATACATACCCCCACATCCCCTTCCTCTCCTATTAAGATCTTTCAGCTCACCCAAACAAGGGGAGAAAGAAACAACAAAGGGAAACTCTCATCTTCCAAGCTTTCCCATCTCCCAAAGACCATTTCCCCGAGAAAATACTGTAATCTTATAGAGAAATGTCCGATGCGTATTGCTCAGACTGCAAGCGCCAGACGGAGGTGGTTTTCGACCACTCGGCGGGAGACACGGTGTGCTCCGAGTGTGGATTAGTGTTGGAATCTCATTCCATCGACGAGACCTCAGAGTGGCGTACCTTCGCGAACGAGTCCGGCGATAACGACCCGGTCCGTGTTGGTGGTCCCACCAACCCACTATTGGCCGATGGCGGGTTGTCCACCGTCATAGCCAAGCCTAATGGGGCATCTGGTGAGTTCTTATCTTCGTCGTTGGGGCGGTGGCAGAACCGTGGGTCGAATCCGGATCGGGGCTTGATTCTGGCCTTCAAAACCATCGCCACCATGTCTGATAGGTATGTGCTTGTTGCTGCGATATTGTGGGAAGGTATTTTGGTTCGTAGAAAAATCCGAGGTTTCTGGTATTTTTAGGTTTTGTAACTGGATTTTGGGTTTCCTTTGAGGGTTGAAGTTGGACGAGAAAGATGATGATTGGTAATGGGAAAGTAGAAATGGCAGAGGTTTGTAGTAGTTTAAGGTGTTGTAACTGGATTTGGGTTTTGTTTGAGGGTTGAATTTGGATGAGGAGGATGCTGATTGGTATTGGGAAAGTAGAAATGAAAATTGAAAATCCAAAGCTGAACATCTAATTAGCTTGGGTTGGGAAATTTTTATTACAATTTGAAACCATAACTGTTAATCAACTTTTCAAGATTAAATTTGGAATTTGGTTCAAAATCAAATGAGAGTATTGCCCTTTATGATCATCGTGTAATTTCATGAATCTAAGTTGATAGATATATGAGATATATGAGGAGATTGAAATATTAATCTAAGTAGATATATGAGATATATGAGGAGATTGAAATATTAATCTAAGTAGATATATGAGATATATGAGGAGATTGAAATATTAATCTAAGGAATACTGTAATCAATTGCATTGGACAAATTGAAATTATTAAGCTTTTTAGTTTTTTCAAAACAGCTAAACTATTAAGTTCAATCCCACGTATATTAGAGTAGAGTAGGTAATTGGTTTTTGTTACACTTTTTCATCTGTCAAAATCTTGCTTCTTCCCTTTTGTAATGTGTGATGATATTTATATAGTATTAGTATCAAAAGTTATTCACATGATGTGTTAAATTTCTCTTATGATGAGATTATTTGTAAACTACTATAAAGAAAAATAGCTGATGTTGTAACATTGTATTTCAGGTTGGGCCTTGTGGCAACCATCAAGGTATGCTATTTGTGTACTATAAACATTTATTCATGGGGACTGTTAATAGTTCTAGTACGCTCATATGCCTACCAAATTCGTGCATAAAATTTTAGCGACCCATTATTGTGGATACATTTAAGGTCAAAGAAAAGCTTTGTCCATTATTTTATTTTGTGATTTTGTGATACAAATGAAATATGGAATGAAATATGGCTGTTATATTGTAAGAGAATAAAAGTTACTATAATTTCAGTTCTGAATATTTGTTGAAGTATACCCTAAAACTTTGTCTATGACTTTGCACTACGTAATTATACTTGCAGGGGATTCTAAGCATTATTTCTTAGAAAATTCTAAGTAGCACCAGACCACTACTGCACATTTTCATTTTACAGTATATTGCTTCTACAAGTATCCTTGATAAACTAATTATATAATTGAAACACAGTAGTGGCTACAAGTGAAAACCGTTAGTCTATTCATTGATTACTTTTTCAACATAATACTTTTCCAGGGAAAGCATTTCAGACGAACTTTTCTACCATGCCTGTCTTGTTTGATTCAACTGTTTCATTCACTGATATCTGAGTTGAAGATAAATTTTCCTTTTTTAATTGGGACTAGCGGTGTATGGATAAAAGGGTGAACAATCAGTAGATCATTTTACTTCTACAAGGTTTGGCGTATTGCGGTTTCTGGATACTGGTCTTTTTCCATTTTGGTGCTGATTGGGTGAATACTGATTTGGTGATCTTGTTGGATTATAAAATTTGATAAAGATTAGGCTTTAGTTGCTTCTGTAGCTGTTTCCATCTTGCTTTGATGTGGCACGTTTGGCTTGAGAGGAACATTATAAAAGTCGAGTGGGATGGGTTATCCTTGAGACTTGATTCAGGGTTTTTATTTATTTTCTAATTTTGAGAGAGACAGAGAGAGTGCATTATCTTCACATCACAGCGAAACTTGTATTCACATATCTGCTGCAATTAGGAGTGTGATAACAAGTAGTGAATTCACATTGTCTGTGCTGATTTTTATGTTTTTACGTCATGTAGTTGATAATTATTTTAGCAAAAAACTTCTGGTAAAATCTTGAAAAGTATATATTCTTTTTGATGTACAGGAATCTTAAGCACTTCTTGTAGTTTGTGTTGTTACTTTTAGTTGGTTGTAGAAGGTTATGATTGTACCTTCGGCGGACTGTTTGTTCATTATCATTACTGTTGCATTGTTGTTTAGTTTAGATTAATAAAATCTTCTGTTTCCTTCTTAAAAACTAATAAAAGGGATCTTAAGAACTTATATTCATAGCCTGCTATTTCATGGGATTTGAGTTTTAGATGATGAGGCTTTTATGTTTTGATTTGAAGGATCGGGCTAATGAGATATATAAGAGGGTGGAAGATCAGAAATCTAGTAGAGGAAGAAATCAGGATGCATTATTGGCTGCTTGCCTGTACATTGCTTGTCGACAAGAAGACAAGCCACGCACTGTAAAGGGTACAGTTTATGACTTTTTTAACATCTGGATGCTTCCTGAATTACTTTGCCTTTGTGTATGAGCTTCCCTGAACCTGTGGATTTCAAATAGAAATTTGCTCTGTCGCCAATGGAGCCTCAAAGAAGGAAATTGGCCGAGCAAAAGAATATATAGTGAAACAACTGGGACTAGAGAAGGGTCAGTCAGTGGAGATGGGAACAATACATGCTGGGGACTTTATGGTGAGCTACATATGTAGGCTTAAATTCTTAGTTCCTTTTTTCCTAGTTTGTAGTTTTCACTGACTTAATAGCAACTTAACTGTAGAGGCGCTTCTGTTCCAATCTTGGAATGAATAATCAAGCAGTCAAAGCTGCCCAAGAAGCTGTGCAAAAGTCAGAAGAATTTGATATAAGGTAGTTCCTTTTGTTATGCATTATGCTGAAAATAATGTATATTTTCATGATTGCATATTTGCATGACTGATTTTACCTTTCTTATTGTGTATACTGTCATCATGGTTCCATAGATTCATTTGCACCATTTATCAATTTCCACAGGTTCTTTTTTCCTCATCATCACAGATCATGTCATTTATCTCATAGGATGTCAGGTGTTTGGAAAAGATAAGGATGGACCCAGAAATATTGTAAAACGTAACATGATCAAAATAGCTGATTCGAATTGTTTATGTTAAACATTCATTGTGGAGGCCAATGGCAAGGCATCATAAAGGATTGGCTGATATAAGGTGAAGTACTATGTAGAGGGGCAAATTGGACTAATAAACAAAATGATCTTGTGCAATCCTGTGTTCAACTATTCAAACAGCCCTAAATGACTTAAGGAATGCCCAATCTCTCTTCAAATATTAGGCCATCTTTGGGTGAGCTTGGCAGTCTGTTTTTTTTTTTTGGTCAATCTCTTGGCTTTCTGTTTAAACGGGACTTTTTTTTTTCTTTCCCTTTTTCTACTTCACCTTATCAATTTTGACATGAGCCCTATGAATTGATCAGAACCACTTTTTGTTTAGTTCATTTTCCTGCACTTCTGTTTTGGACAGTGATGAGGAATTGCAGGTTATAATGAAAAGTTCATCTTTCTGGTTTTGATTCCTTAACATTAGACATAATGGTCAGAAATGGCATTCCTTGGTTCCATTTGAAGAAGTTAATATCTGAATTCTGCTGCCTTAAGTTAATATCTGATTCATACATTTGTTGTCTTGATAGATTCTTTATCTTGAGATCGGTCCTTGAATTATGATTGACTTTATAGTACTTGCTTTTGATGATGGCCTGTTTCTTTTTTATCTCTCAATTCCAGGAGGAGCCCTATATCGATAGCAGCAGCAGTTATTTATATTATCACTCAGCTTTCAGACGATAAGAAGCCTCTCAAAGGTTCAGTATCATCCTCCCTCTTAGAAACTAATTGAAAAATGTAGTTGAAAGCTTGTGAACTGAACATATGGCCTGCATCACCTGTAATTTAATGGGTTTATTGGTAGATCCAAGACTTGATCGGTTTCATGCCACCCATAATTTTTATGGTTTTCTAACAAGTGCTGATTTAAGTAATGGCCACTGTGAGTGCAGATATCTCAGTTGCTACAGGAGTAGCAGAAGGAACAATCAGAAACTCATACAAAGACCTTTATCCCCATGTATCAAAGATAATACCCAACTGGTATGCAAAGGAGGAGGATCTCAAGAATCTTTGCAGCCCTTGAAATGTAGGCCGAGCGGATTCATCAAGAACGACGAGGAATGTGAATTCTACTGGAGCGCTTTTTCTTGGGTTGTATTTTAACCGTCCAGTGTATGAACAATGCAGAAGGCTTAAATTGTTTTGAGAATTCTTTTTCATAGTAAATTACTAAATTATATCTTTCAATTGACGCAATTGAGATATATGCTTGAAAAAGCATGTTTTCTGACTTTTTTTCAATTCAAAATAAATTTTCACCTATTATCTGCCTGAAATTGTGATCATTTTAGATTCTATTTAAATTTTGATAAAATTCCAAAACCGTTCAATGAAACTGTGGCCATTGCAAATGAATTGGATATTTCAAGTGGAGGAATATTTGAGGCTAAAAGATATATTTTCAAATCCCCTGAAATTCGTGCAAGCTTAATGAGAGCCCAATGTGTTGTGTTGGAGCACATTCTTAAGCTTGATTAGGAAAAGAATAAAGGAAGAATATGAGTAGCGTGACGTGGAGGTTTGTGACTCAACTCTTCTGTGCAGCATTAACCAAAAAGTGCTGCTAAACGAACCTTAAAATTAACTAAGTACACCATACTATCAAAGTATTTATTGAATTATTAATTTACCCTAATATAAAATGACTATAAATGATATATTGAATTGTGAAACATAACACCACATATTTTTAGGGTGTACTTAGTTAATTTTAGAATTCGTTCAGCACTCTTTAAAAACCATCTAAAAAATGACTCCACCACATATTTTTCCCCACACTTATCTTCTTCTCCATCTTAGCATTTGGACAGCCGAACTCTTTTATCTCTCAAAACCAAGCCCAGCAGAACCTCTTCTCCTTTCAATCACTCTTCTCCAAACTTATAATTTTTTTCATTTCTTTCATCTTTCAATTCAGAAAATTCCCAAAAATATTTGAAGCTCCTTGTAAAAACTTGTTTTCTCCAATTTCCCTCCTCAAAAGTAGCCACACGAATCATATTGGGGCTTAAATCAGCAAGCAAGGCAATCAGTGGGTTTTTATTTATTCATTTATTTTTATTTCTTTTGGTGTGTGGTCATGAATCAAAGATTTCATTGAAAAAAAGACAAGGACTGCAGATAGGCTAACCTTGTCAACCACTGATTGAGAAGACAATCAGAGTTGTTTTTTGGTTTTAGATGTTGGATTCATTAATAATAATAAAAATCAGACGGCATGAAATACTATGTTTCTTGGGAAAAAAATTTAAAACCCCGAAGCTGCAAAATTGAGTATTTTAATAAGAGTGATTCCCTTACTTAGTATTACTTATTATTTGATTTAGCATCAAGAGGAATGAAATCAAAGAATTATGTTGAACGTTTTTGTATCATTAGTTAGATTTAGGATATATCAAAAAGAACAATATTGTCCAGATTTTACAGTTAAAATTTTTAGAATTAAAGTACGGAGAAAAGGGGATCATAGGGAGAATGATGAATGTTGTTGGTTTTTTTTTTTTTTTTTTGGGCGAGATAGAGTGTATTAGGGTGTACCATAGGTATTTTTGGTAGTTAAATAGGGTGTACTTAGTTAATTTGACATTTTGATTTAAATATTAGGGTGTACTTAGATCATAGGGTGTACTCAGTCAATTTTAGGGTTCGTTTAGCAGCACTCTAACCAAATTATATCACGATTTGCATAGCATGTCGTCTTCAAATTAAGTCTCACGTTCTACTAGTGTTCCTTTCCGTTAACTCTGTCTATTTTTCCGTCAAAATTCATCTTCTCTTACATAGAGTTGAATAATTTCTCGATGAATTGAAAGTAGTCACTGGATGCTTGTGGTCCTGCAGTCTTGATTCATGAATTTGGTTGTCAATGACGTCAATTTGGTAACCGAACCATATCCGCTCTAAGAGCACTTCCACCGCTGCAGTTTGGCCTTGGTAGGAGGGGGTCCAAGCCTTATTTTGTGCTTCCAACGGGCTTTAGGAGCTCGGGCAAGAGGTGGGTTTTAAATTTTTTTATCGTTGTCATGGGTTGTCTGATCGTTATTTGTCCTCCAATCCAACGGCTGCGATTTAAAATAAAAAAATTGTAAAATATTTTAAATATTAAAAAAAAAATACAAAAAAATTCTGACTTTTTTTTTCTTCTATAAATACCTACTAATATTCTTCACTTTCCACACCAAATCTTCATACATTTTCTTCTCCTTCCAATATTATTCACTTTCCATGCCAAATTTTCTTCATTTTCGAAATTCATTTGTGTTGAAATAAAAATGACATCTTCTATCGAAGCCGAAGGGGCGTGGACAACCGTTTAAGATGTTTTGTTATGTGAGTGTTGGATCCAAGTTGGTCATTGCCCTATCACGAGCAATGAGATGAAGTTCTCTCATATGTGGAGAAAAATTCATGCCAAATTTTGTGAAAGATCAGGCCACTCGTACGGAAATGGCCTTGGCTAGTAGGTGAAATTTTTTGAATAAAGAGTTAGGGAAATGGAGAGATGCGTTGGCAAAAGCGAGGGATAACATTCAAAAAGGCCAAAATCTTGGCAACGAGGTAAATTATTCGTAATTTCCGTTTTATTAAATTTAATGTCCATTTTTTTTTCAATATTTTATTTAATAGATTATGCAAGCACAAATGTGGCTCGATGCCATTGGCTAGGGCAAAAAATCTTCAACAATCACCAATGTTGTGAGGTGATGAAAAATTGTTCGAGATTCAAAATTATTCTCACGGGTCCGACTGTTGTGTTGAATGAAACGTCGCTCCATAATTCAACGGCATCGGATTCGCCTTTGGATTCCTCGATGAATCAAGACTCACCAATCCGAAAGGAATTGAGGCCTATTGGGAGAAAGGCGGCGAAGGCCAACAGTGGGAGTAATTCCACCAATGATACTACAAAAATTTTGGAGCAAATTGCTCTAAACGGCACAATGAGAGAGAGACATGAAAAGAGATTTGGATGAGAAGACAATGTATGAAGAATTTGCAAGAGAAAGGGAGTAATCACACAAAAAAGACATGGAGAAGAAGAATTGAGAAACCATGGCCATGGATACGAGCCATATGTTCCCTAAAACAAAGTCATTTTGGAAGCTAGAAACAAAGTCATTTTGGAAGTTAGAATGAAGTGATGTTATGAGAAGAAGGCTTTTCTGTGACGATACCCAGCAATACTGATTGGTAAAATGATGAAAACCATTAGGTTGCATTGCTTGTCTTTTATTTAATTAATTGTATTGCTTGTCTTTTATTTAATTAGTTGTATTTCTTGTTCTTTATTTAATTAGTTGTATTGTTTTCTTTTATTGAATAAAGAAAGCATTCAATAATATAGCTATTTATTTAACACATTTCTTTGTTTTATAATATAGTTATAAAACAAAGCATAATACGATTCAAAACACAAAGAAAGCATAATTCATTACAAAGCACAACCAAAGCATAATTCAAAATAAAACACAACTAAAGAATAATTCAAAACAAAACACAACCAAAGCATAATTCAAAACAAAGCACAAACATAGCATAATTCAAACAACGCATACATCAACACAAAGCATAATTAAAAACTAAGCATCTTCACTTGACTTTATTGACTGTCATTGCCTCTCACTGCCCATAAGTGCTCCATCAAGTCAACTTGACGTCATACATGAATATAAAAAGATTGCATCTCCGTATAATGATCAATTATAAGGTTGTTGTAATGACCGTCCCTAACCAATAGTTCGTGCTCTAGTGGTTGTTCATTTGCTCCTATGGGCCGTTCATAAATTCTTGTCAGCATATAGTCGATGTTTCCAATAATGCATGGGTAACCTCGAGCCTCGACTTTTTGTAGACGCCTTTGGAGGTCCCTAGGCGTAAATTTGCGGAGGTAATCCCTCATATATAGAGTTTCAATTGTATCACAGAATCTGACCAAGCTCTTTAGGATAATGGATTTCCCCATCCTAGCAATCTCATCCACCTGGTCTGCAAATGCACCAAACACCAGCATCTGTAAAGAAGTTGTAAACTTTTGTTTCTAAAGAAGCCCCAAAGCCCCAGTAGCATCACACTTTCTGAACAAAGTATGCATCGTAATTGCAAACATTATGCATGATTTTATTGAACAAATAAGGTTGCATTCTATATCGCTCTTGAAAATCAATAGTAGAGGACAACAAATTTGGGATAAAGTAATCTTCCAAAAGATTTTTACCCCGAGAATGCCTACGTCTGTCCATGTTCAAGCCACAACTGACTTGTAAACCATTGTGGTTGCCTTGGCTTGATAGATCAAGCATACACATATCCATGACAACTTGTTCATCATCTTCTTCCTCCTCTCTTTCTTCTTCAGCTCGTTTGCACCTTCTTTCTTTCATTTCTCGCTATTGCCTCTTCAAGCACCTTCTTATGTAAGACATTAAGAGTGGACTATGAAATCTAAAATATGAGAAATGAAAGGATAGATAGGATATGGTGTGAGAGGTCTAAGTTGAGGCTCTGGTTTTATTGAGGGATTTAGAAGATAGAGATGACAATGACGCAATTTTAAAGGGTGAAAATCTTATATGTAATTTGAGATTTGTATTTTATAATAAATATCAACATGTGGCAATCATGAATCTTATCCGAAAATCTTATTTGAAATTTGAGATGTGAATTTTATAATAAATATGGATATGTGCCAATCGAAAATCTTATTCGAAAATTTTATTTGAAAATTGTATCTGAAAATTGAAAGGATAGAGAGGATATGGTGTGAGAGGTTTGAGTTGAGGTTTTGATTTTATAGAGGGATTTAGAAGATAGAGATGACCACGTGACGCAATTTTAGAGGGTGAAAATCTTATCTGAAATATGATGTGTGAATTTTATAATAAATATTAACACGTGACAACTGAAAATCTTATCTAAATTAATCGTTTAAGTAATAAATAAATAAATAAATAAAAATGAATAGTATTTACCCTTTGTCATGGTAATGGGTGGAAACACAACAAGACTTTTGCAAGAGCTGCCACTATTCATGTGAATAGTAACAACCATTGTCTTGCCTTTGCCTTTTGCCATAGCAAATGGATGAGAGTGCTCTAATGGGAAGTTTAAGCAAACATCCTTCTAAATAAGTGAAAATTATGTATACAATTAAAATTAAGGGTTAATTACAGTTTAGTACCTTGTGGTTACACTCTTAAGATATGTTAGTCTCTATCTTCTCAATTTTAACAATCACATACCCTGGTATTTTAAATTTGTTACAA